CCCGCTAGGGGGTGTGTGGGGGGTCAGGGCTCCCTATGGGGTGTGTGTGGGGGGATATGGGGGTCAGGGCCCGCTATGGGGTGTGTGGGGGGATATGGGGGTCAGGGCCCGCTATGGGGCGTGTGGGGGACTGGGGGGTCAGGGCCCCCTATGGGGGGTGAGCGCCAGTGCCCGCTGGGGGGGCCTAGAGGCTGCCATGAGGGGCATCGGGGGGCACAAGCGGGAAAGGGGGGAAGTGGTGGGCACAGTGCCCGGCGTGGGGGGCGGCCGGGCAGTGGTATGTCCCGTGGGGAGAGGTGGCCGGGGTGCCTGTGCCCCCCTTGGCCCGGGCCGTGGGGGGCAGGGGTGAAGACTCGCCCTGTGCAGGTGGCAGGGGGCCGCTGGGTCGTGGCAGTGCCCCCGGGGGCACAGGGAGTGGGGTGGCCGTGGGTGACGGTACCCGCCAGCGGGGGGCACTGAGGATCCGGCCGACGCTGACATGGCATCGGGTTGAAACGGGGGCGTCCGTGGCACGGCCGGGCCTCCTAGCTCCTCAGGGACCCCTGCCGGCCTCAAGGACCCCCCCCAATCTCCTGGGGCTCTGGGATCTGTGGGGTCCGATGCCCAACCCCCGCTGCCCCCCACTTCCTCTGCTGGTCCTGGGCAGCGGGGTCCTCAGCTCGGTGCCTGGGGATCAGGAGGGGGCGGGGGGGAATCTGATTCTCCCCCCCCCCCATGCCTAATATCAGTGACACGTTCAATATGGCTGCCACGCTCCAGCCTTTGTCTGGTAAACAGTGTGTGTGGGGGCCTGACAGCTAGAGAGGTCCTGCCCCGGAGATCTGGGGAGCAACCCCCCAACATGGGACCCACAAGCCCCCTCCCTCAACCCCCATCTTCCACCCCCCTTGTTTCTTTTGTGGCTTCCTCTTCCATCCTCCCAGCTGGGCTATTGTGATGGCTCTGGCCTGGCCTCTTCTCCTCCCCGACAGCCGGGCAAGTGGGCTCGCTGGGTGGGGGGAGGGGATCTGGGGCTTGGGGGGGGCAGATCCAAAAGTGGGGGGCTTCCCTGGGGAGGATCTTTGGGGCAGCTCACTGGTCCCATCCCTCCCTGGCCCTGTCTCGGTTAGATCCGGTCGGCGCAGGGCATTGGAAGGATAGGTTTGAATTCGGCCTGCGTCAGTTTCAGTGGCCTGCGTCGGTTTCGCCTGCCTGCCTGGGTTGCGCATCGGATCCAGAGGCTGGGGTCCCCCCCTTTCAGAAATGGGGGTGAGGGGAGCGATTGCCTGGCTGGGCTAGTGAACGCTGTGCTGGGCTCCTGACGCCATTGGCTGCCGTCCCCTCCCTTCGCCCCCCCCCCCTCCCGAAAGATGCTTGATTTGGCCACTGGAGTGCCAGGAAAGGCTCCTGCTGGTCGCAGACCCGGGCAGCCGTGGTCTGAGATCTCGGGTACCGGGAGAGAGATTTTAGGGTTATAAACTGGTATGTTTACCCCAGAGGTGGCTGCATCTCCTGTCCCTGTGCAGTGTTCTGTGTGGCTGTTCCCAGCCACCCCACCCAAGAGGTGGCTGCATCTCCGTGCCGGGCAAGCTGTCCCTGTGCAGTGTTATGTGCGGCTGTTCCCAGCTGCCTGGTCCCTGTCCTAGAGGGAGCTGCAGTCCCATGCCGGGGGAAATGCAGATATTTTTGGATAAAGCTTTGCCTGGCCTTAGGGGTACTAACCCTGGGGTCGGGGCAGGTGCCCCCTGGCACCAGCGGGCTGGGATGGGAGAGGTGTCCAGTCTGCTCTCAGCCATCTGCCCTCCCTTAGCTCCCCTCCCTGCCGGCGTGGAGGCACGAGGTGGTCCTGGCAACAGACATCTTCCTGCCCCCCACTGGAGGGGACGGACCCTGCTCTGTGTGAGCCCTGATCCCCTCCATGGGGGCCTGCAGCCCAGCGTCCCATCCGAGCATGGCCAGGCATGTTCGATCAGGCGATACCCGTTGGCAGAGGGCTGTCCCTGCGGACGGTGCTTGGGAAGAATCTTGGGGGGTCCGAAGGCAGCGTCGTCTGCTCCAGTAGCCTTTCGTACTAAGCCCCCTCCTTTTCCCGTCTCTCCCCAGGACTGGCAGCCCCCCTTCGCTGTGGAAGTGGATAACTTCAGGTTCACCCCACGCATCCAGAGGCTTAACGAATTGGAGGTGAGCTGGGAGGCAGTGCCCATGGTGGTTGCCGAGTGGCTGTTCCCCTGCCGTCCCTGCGTGGTGTTGATGAGTGGCTATTCCCCTGCTGCCCTGCCCCAGAGGTGGTCGCATCTCAGTGCTGGATAAATTATCCTTGTTTGCCGTTATGTGTGGCCGTTCCCAACTGACCTGCCCCAGAGGTGGCTGCATCTCTGCGCCAGGTGGTACTCTGACACATTAGCTCTTGGCCTGAAAGGCCCCCCGCGATGTCAGTGCTGTTTCCTGGCTCCCCGTCCTTGTGGGGAGGCTGGGCCGGGCTAGAGAGTGGCCGCGTGGGCTGGAGAGGCGACACCCAGGCGAACTGCTCCCCTCCCTGCCCCCAGGCGCAGACGCGGGTGAAGCTGAACTACTTAGACCAGATTGCGAAGTTCTGGGAGATCCAGGGCTCCTCGCTCAAGATCCCCAACGTGGAGCGGCGCATCCTCGACCTCTACAGCCTGAGCAAGGTAGGACGGGCGCTGGGGGGGTCCATGGGCTGGGGGCACTGGCAGCACTGTGGGTCAGGGGAAGGGTGCCGGCAGTGCCGGGGGAGGTGCGGGTTGGGGGCCAGAGGTGCCAGCAGCCCCAGGGCTGGGGTCTGCATGTCGGCTTGGATGCTGGCAGAGCTGCAGGTCAGAGGCTGGGTCACAGTCGGGGGAGGGGGCTGGCAGCACCATGGGGATCCGTGGGTCGGGAAAGGGGGCTGGCTGCACCGGGGGGGATCCGTGGGTCGGGGAGGGAGCAGGCCGCACCGGGGGGATCTGTGCGTCGGGGGAGGGAGCAGGCCGCACCGGGGGGATTCGGGGGAGGGGGCCGGCAGCACCGGGAGGATCTGTGGGTCGGGAAAGGGGGCCGGCTGCACCGGGGGGATCCGTGGGTCGGGGGAGGGAGCAGGCCGCACCGGGGGGATTCGGGGGAGGGGGCCGGCAGCACTGGGAGGATCTGTGGGTCGGGAAAGGGGGCCGGCTGCACCGGGGGGATCCGTGGGTCGGGGGAGGGAGCAGGCCGCACC